GGCCAGGAAGGGGACGCAGCGCCGGCGCGTCTCGTCCCGCCCCTTCCGGCCGAAGGCCCGCCGCTTCCGGCTCGTCCTTTGGCGGCCACAGTTGCCGCTGTCCCTTTTATCCTGGCTCTACCACAAGTTTGAAATCGACACCAACCACTAGTAGATAAAGTTCCAGAAATTTACTTGTCCGCTCTCCCGAGGGCCGGGCCAGAGGCGGGGCTGTACCATTTGGGACCCCGGCGCGTCGGGAATCGCGGCCAGGAGGGTAAGACCTCGACAGAAATGCTCGTTCAGCCTTGGCGCTGGGACGTGGGGTCCCTTTCTACCCCTGGCCCTGGAGAGCGGGTGTGCCTGGTCGCTGGGAAAGAGAAACATTAGGGGGTTACGAAGACTTTGATCTGAACTGATAAGGTCCGGACCCCTCGTCTGGCCGAGAAACGGATGGCCCGAGTTCATGCCACCCACGGCTCCCTGCGAGGCAGTGCAGTACTTGAACCCCAGACTTCCGGCGTGAAACTCCGCTGTCAGCACAATTCGCACTCATAACAGAGTTGGGTGGCCCCCAAGTGTCAGCTTGTTGACTTGGCGGGTTACAATTGAGCTTTCTTAGTTGGGCAGAGAGCGGGAAATGGAGGGAATGCAGGACGTATAAATGCCTGGTGGAGCTGGTTTTTCGTTATGGACGGTGGTGTAAGAGACACTACCCTTGCAGCACAAGGCCAACAGCTCGAGGGAGGAGCATTCCCTTCTGTCGCTACTTTCCCGAGTTATACTTGATCGTATAGCTCCCCTTCCTTCCTCTCCATTATCAAATACAAGTCCTGGTAAAAGATTCAAAAGGCACTGTAGGATATAAATGTTAGTTCCCCATTCCTACCCCCAAACTCCTAGCATTTTGTTTCCCTTTTTTACACAAGTGATCCTATTGTGCGTCTTTTCCACTTTACCGAGGGTTGTCTTCCAAAATCAACCCTTTTAAGTAGTTGCCTATCAGGTGTCCACTGGCCAAATTAGGGACAAAGACAATACAGGTCTCCAATCTGAGCATTCATCAGAATCATGGAAGGGCTGGTTAAGCATTGCGAGGTGTCTAAATTACTGAGTTGCATTTCTAACAAGTTCCAGGTGATACTGATATTGCTGGTTGGGAACACTTTGAGAACCACTGCAATAATGGATCTTAACAGTAACTTAAAAAAAAATCCAGAAAAGTGAAAGTGTGGGCCAGCAGCTATTCTTTTTTAAATTTTATTTCAGAGAGGGAGAGAGATAGTAACTTCAATGATGAGAGAGAATCATTGATGGGCTGCCTCCTGCACATCCCCGCCCCCACTGGGGTCGGAGCCTGCAACCCTGGGCATATGCCCTTGATCGTAATCGAACCCAGGACCCTTCAGTCCTCAGGCCAACGCTCCATCTACTGATCCAAACCGGCTGGGGCGGGAGCTATTCTTTCCAGGGTGGTCCGTGAGGTCTGAAAGGTTGGCGACCGCTGCTTAGAGAACATCCAACATATTTAAAAGGGATAATAGAATTATTCAACTATCATCATGCCACTCCCAGTGAGATAAATGATTCAAAGAAGTATAATTTATGGATACTAAAACTAAAAGGAACACCTTTACAGCAGCACTATACCTGGCAGTTAGCACCTTAACCAGCTGATTAAACCTGGTACCACCAGTAGTTTAGCAATCTGATATGTGATTCCAAAATGATGCATTTGTTGTGCAGATCACCTATATTCTTGTCAAAATGCATAACCTGAAATTAACTATAAAGAAATGAATAAAATTCTTGCATTTGAGGCCTAGAAAACACTAAAAACAAGAAAACTGATGTCAGCTGGATAAGAAAAATACAACTAGAAATAAAAATAAAGTGAAAATTAGATTCTGTTCATACTAGTGACAGAAAACACTATCCTAAACTCAATAATAAACTTGACAACTCATCATGCAATGTGTTTGTAGGGAATCTGGTGCTAAAGCATTCATAAACAAAAAACCCCAAAAAACCTTGGTAAGAAAAGTGCAGCAATCCTATATAAAACCCTAATATGGAAAGCTACCGAACAGACCTACTGATCACAATGACCACCAGGGGGCAGACGCTCAATGCAGGAGCTGACTCCTGGTGGTCAGCCTGCTCCCACTGGGGGAGCACCACTCAGCCAGAAGCCGAGCTCACTACTGGCTAGAACAGAGGTGGTGGTGGGAGCCTCTCCTGCCCCGCTGTGGGCCCCTTGGGGGAGATAGCAGACTACTGGTTTAGGCTCCCTTTGGGGAGCAGGCCTAAGCCGGCAGGCTGACATCTCCCCCAAGGGGTCTTGGACTGCAAGAAGGCGCAGGCCGGGCTGAGGGACCCCCCCCACACACCCCCCCCAGTACAGGAATGTTGTGCACCCCCCCTCGTTATATAATTAAATCCTAACACGTTAGTAGCAACATATTTAATAAGTGCATCTGTTTGAAAATTGCCCCCACATATTTGAAAAATAGTGGTAGTCTAGACAATATAGTTTTACATTGTTTGTCACAGGAAAAAACAAGATCAGGAAGCAATAGATGGACACTGATGTTTCAGTTCAGTTGGACAGGATTTTAATCATATGGTAATGGCATGAATAGGAACCATTCTAAAGAATCCTACCTCAGACCACAGTGATTAAAGATCTAAATAGGAAATTTTTAAAATTTTAGATATTTATGGCTTGGGGATGGAGTTGACCTTAACATTGAAAATCCAAAAGCAACAAGAGAAAAAAAAATTTAGTAATGTAACTTTTAAGTGTGTGCATGGCAAACGACAAAGTTAAAGGGCAAATGACAAACTGGGAAAGCCTTACAAATTATAAGTTAGTAGACAACAAAAATTTATTCAAGTAGCCATTAGCAGTATAAATTAAAACAGCAAGCAAGGTAGAATATTTTTTTTGCCAACTTCACAGAAATTGATGAGGATTACCTTTAGTTCTGGCAAGATTGCAAAGAAAACACTTTTGCACATTGCTGATGACATTGAGAAAGTCCCCTGGCAGCACCCACTAGAAATGAGATTACATATACACTTTGGAGAACCCAGTGTACATTTAAAAAAACATGGTATTTAATGACATTTAAACAGTATTGCTTATAGAGACAAAAAAAAATCTGAATGTCAAAAAGCAGAATGATTGAATACATTATAGTATACTATGGAATATAATACGCAAATACAGGGTAAGGCCTATACATGTTGAACATTGCTGAGTATGTACAACAGTCCTATTTTTTAAAACATCAACAATTTACATGCATGATTATATTTATAGAAATCATGAAAGGATACATCCCAACTGTTGACATCCTTTAGGTGGATGGACTGAGATGTAGGAAAGTTGGGGGAGGGATAAAATAAAATTTTAAAGATACTTTTGTATGTTTGAGGAGCCCCATTTATTTTCTCAACCAATAAAACCAACAAACAAAAAGTTAAGCAGGTTAGGTTTAGAATATAGATTAAAGTTATTTTTTCCAGTTAAAGAGTTGACACTAAATTTGGTAATCTAAGAAATAGTGGTAAAAGTAGATTAGAATTATTGGAAGCAACCACCAGAAGAACAGAAAACAGGGGGACTAGGAATGAGGTGGCAGACTTTTAAGTAGAACCAGGCAGGCAGCAGATGCTCCATGATCACTGGGCTTACATACAGTATGCTCTATGGAAGTAAATTTTGAATGCCTTCAAGTAAAAACCAGATACATAAAACAAAAACCATGTAAGCAACAGTTATATATATATTCGTTGGGTCCCCAAGTTAATTGAAAGCACTTTTTATATTCCCCACCATATATTTACCACACCTTTTAAGGTACCCTAGAGTAGAAAGTAGCCACATTCAAATGAATTAAGGTATAAGAAGTAAAAAGGACCACAGCTTTATTAAAAGTAGATGTAACATATAATATGTACAGATAGCACATGGTGCCAATTGTATTTGCAGGTATTACAGTACTCCAACTCAAGTTCACAAGTTACATCTTTGCCACAGCCTTGGCTAAATCTTTAACTAATGCAGAATTTAGCTGTGCTAGAGTGCTGATCTTAGCATGCTTAGACGTGGCATACTTGTTCTTGATAGTCTGGAAGAGAAAAGCATAGTAATTAATGAAGGAAAAGAGGAAAACATAAAAAATGCAGTGGTAAAGGTATTCATGTAAAACGGGTGGGGAACCCTTTCTCTGCCAAGGGCCATTTGGAAATTTATAACATCATTTGTGGGCCACACTAAATCAACTTAAAAATTAGCCTGCTCTATTTAGGCAAATATTTAATTAACTTACTCCTAATGCCTTGGCAGGGCCAGACCAAATGATTCTGTGGGCCTTATAGGGCTCAATGGCTGGACATTTCCCATCACTGACATAAAACATCAAGTCCTTAAAAATAAGCTATGCATTTGCAGGCATTAAGTCTTTTCATGCATGTGCTCTGACAGGGAATCAAACCCTGACCTCTTGGTTCATGGGTCAATGCTCAACCACTGAGCCACACTGGACAGGCCATGAATTCTTATTTTCACTTCCCCCACAATATCCTAAAGTGCCACTGATTGACTTACCATGTGCTTTGTAAGCCCACAATTCACCATGACTATGTTCTTAGCGAGGTGTTGCATAACAAGGAGAAGTGATTCTTCAGTGTATGACAGGTAATGCTGTAGAACTGGTGTCTATGATAATAAGAGTTAATGTTAATAATGCTCACCAACAATGGTTTTCATAAAATTTCTAGATGTTATTCAAGAGAATGGTAGGAAGACTGATACTGTATGACTGCTTATCACTGATATTTAAGACAAGCTTAAGACCCCTTCTTCCCTAGGCACTCTTCTTTCATGCTTCTCTAATATCCTGTCCTTAAACCTATCATACACTAACATGCTCAAACTGATACACTTCTGTAATTGTTGACGTATCTACCCCAAACCTAGACTTCAAACTCCTTGAGGCCACTTTCTCATTCACAATTCTATTCCTAGGCTGAGGGTAGCACATGGCACATAGAAATACTTGTTGAATCAACCAATATGAATAAACTTCTAGTATGTCATTTTTCCTGCTTGTACTTCTCCATCTATAAGGAGTAGCAGCTGTTCTGCCTTTCTCAAGGGGATACAGAAAGATGAAATTAGGTAATTAAATGAAAGCATTCTATGAAGACTTCACAAACAGGATATCATTTTTGGAACAAAATCCACACAGATCACTGAGCTTCTGCCAGAAAAATTTGCCTTGGCAATAACCTTTATGTACACAACCATAACTACAAATATTTGCCTATAAACTCTTAAGTGCGATTACCCATGGAAGGCCTTAATAATATTAATATGTTAAGCGCCCTGTCAGTCACCGGTGACTGACACTATACTTTCTGTCCAGAAGACAATATAGGCTGGGCACCTAACATGTTAATATACAGCATGACTGGAAATAAAGAATATGTTCATCCCTTCCCCATGTAGTTAGGTATAAGTTATTTGAATTAGATCTGCTTGGTCGGCAATATTCTCTAATATACCACACCAATGGTTTCTCAAAAGATCTATACCTCTCCGATCTTAGATGCTCTCCGAAGGAAGTGCAGGGGTAGAGGGCGACCCAGGCAAAAATTTAAAGCTCTCAGAATCTTCATTTCCATCTGTCTGATTTGGAGCTTAGTGTAAGTGTTGTCAGTCACAAAGGCAAAGTCACCGATTTCTGGAGGGTACATTTCTTCATATTTGCTCGCAATAAACATGGCAGTGACACCAACCAACTGCAGCATCTTCTTGGGCACAGAATTATTCTGCAATGGGAATTTCAACTGGATGAATAAGTAATATGTATTTGAAAAGAAGACAGAGGTATGAAAAAGGTGGGGAAGACAGACACCTGGAGGTGAGAACTCTCAATTATTGAATTATGCTCACCTGCATGAATCGGTCAATAATGGAAACAGTCATGTACATGGTCTCCTGCAGTAACCCGAATTTCATCTGAACCTGCACCAGCCAATCAATTAGGATGGCTCTCATATTTCCAGTGACTTCACGACCTAATAGGTATTTTGGTCTGACTGCTTGCTCTTCCTGCAAAAGAAATGCTGATCATTATTAGAAGCAAGACTCCATGTGACATTTCTGACCAGAAATATTAGTCACCACATAATAGCTCTGGAGCATTTAGAATCTCTAGCAGTCCTTAGCTCAATTATTCATATGGCCACTACAAACATCTCTATCACTGAAAAGAAAAAGCACACAAACATTAAGTAGAACAGTGTGACAATTTGTATTGGCAGATCTGAGTTCAATTCACCATTGTCCCACACCCTGTACCCACTTGTTCCCAAATAAAGATACTTTACTATCATCTCCAACCTTTTCACCTAAGACTCTAAAACCCAGAACCTGAGCTTTATCAAGTAGAGAAAAATAGCAACTCTCAGATCAGCTGGAACCCTGGTGCTACCATTCTCCTGCCCCAGGGTTTAAACCGCCAAAACACCCATCGATAAGGTGAAGAATGAATCATCAAGGTACGGCGCATACATTTGCTAAATCCACTCCTCCAAAGTTAGAACACGAACTTTAAGAAGGGAGAAGAAACCCAAAGCAGAAAGCTAGTCCTAGCAAGGAAGTCATCTTGCAGGACAATCATGTAGGAAATGGAGATGCCTCAAAGAAACAGGCAAGAGATTGAAGATGTTAATGATGCTAAGGGAAGAGCATGCATTACCAAAAACTGGAAAAATCTGGTAAGGCATAGCCTATGTTAGCATACAGAATGTTTCCCCTTTTTGGGGTGGGGGAAGGGATAAAGGTGATGCCACTAATATCCATCTATCTCCTGTTATCCTCCTTAAACCCAGAGTTTGGGACTTGGCAGTTTCTAACTGTAATAGATATAAATATATCATCCAATCTGCGGAATTTGTTAGAAAGAGCCATGGTAGTATCAACTTTTACTTCAAACTATCCCTGTTCAAAATGGCAAATACAGACTTCCTAAGTTTGTTTAGTGACTTTTTTTTATTCAAGGAAGGAGAATTTGAAAGTGGAATTTATTGTTAAATGTTTTTCTCACATCCAACTTAAATTATTGTAAACTATTAATGGAAAATACCTAATAAATTTAGATACAGTTTAGAAAAAAAAAAACCCCAAAGATTCAAAGATTCTAATAATACTGACCTCAACTTGTCTCAGATAAGTATAGATATCTTTCACATATTCACTACAACAGTTTGGATCAGCTCCGTCCTCTGCATCCACATCATTCACTGCAAGCATTACATCAGAGAAAGCCTGGCACAGATATTCTTCTGCAGGGGCACAGCCAGATGTTTCCATTGGACTTGGAGAGGGAGTATCAACCTTGAAAAGAGAAAGACTTTTAAAATTAATAGCAAAGAGGAGCTTAAAATCTGGGAATAAAGAACAGACTATTGGTACCAATTCAAGAGATCATTTGCTGAATAGTCATGTAATTCATTTCCTTAAAGGAAAAATACCATCTTTTTACATTTATTCAATATCTTGTTAGGAAATGATTAATATGAAAAGTGAGCCAATTTGAAATCAGCAGAACCTAAATGCTAACAGGTAAAACAGAAAGCAAATTCATTCTGGACCTTCCTCCAAAGGAAACTGTTAAGTAACAAATCTCTTTATCAATGTCTGTGAAGTTAATCCAAATGAATGACAAGTCAGTCTTTTCCTGTTTGTCTCAAAAAAGACTGCCTGTCACTGGAACAGGAGTTCTGTCCTGACTACTAATTATTAATTGACTTTATTAATGATTTCCTTCAAATCCGTTACCTCACTGTTCATTTATTGAGCACTTTCTTCAAGCCAAGCTCTGTGGTAGGCACTGACTTTATGATGTCCTAGTGGGGCTTTAAATTTAGAAGAGAGAAGTAAATGAAGCAAGGAGAGTGATTATAGGAACAGTAATTGGGGTGGGGGAAGTTAGTTAAAGCTTCAGGAGTTAATATTTGAGATGTTTTGAAGGCTGAAAAGATTACTAGCTAAATGAAAGGGAGCGGGAAAGGCAAGAATCAGTATGGGACTCAAGGAAACCTCAGGTGGTTTGGTACTACCAATTAAAGATTGTGCATGCTTCAGGTTTCATGAGCTAGGTCCAGAAGGTCAATACTAAGTCTTATATCCTTAGATATAAGAAGTCAGGCTGAATGACATTTACAGATTTTCCCAACCGGTTTTACTAATTTTTTAAAAATAAGAGCTTCAGAATGCAGTTCATTATAATTTCAGCAAAGCAGCCTCTTCCAGATGACCTGTTTTCCCCTCACAGTAAATACACTTATTTAATTCTTGGTTTTTGAGGCTAACTCATCTTTTTAACATACTTTTGGAGAGCTACATTTTCTTTCTGCTTTACACTATTATATATTACAGGCTTATTAATATGTAACTAGTGAGTGAAAAAAAAAGATTCAAGAGAACAATCTATGTTTCAGTAAACAAATTTTGGTCAGAAATGACTTGTATCAAAGACAGCTCAATCTGGTCCAGGCAGTTACTACTCAATACCATCAACAAACCGATTAAAAGCATAGGTTGTGCCCTAGCAGGTTTGGCTCAATGGATAGAGCACCAGCCTGCAGACTGAAGGGTTAAGGGTTCGATTCTGGTCAAGGGCACAATGATTCTCTCTTATCATTGCTTTTTCTATCTCTCTCCCTCCCTCTACCTTACTCTCTGAAATCAATTAAAAACAAAAAAATATATATAAAAAGCATAGGTTATGCCCTCGCCCGAGATGCTCATAGTTAGAGCATGGGAAGGGTTGCAGTTGGATTCAAGGGCAGGTATCTGGTTGCAGGTTTGATCCTGGCATGGTCAGGTGCATCTCTTTCACATCAATGTTTCTTTCTCTCTCTTTTTCCCCTTCTCCCCCACTCTCTCCTTCCTTTCTACTCTCTAAAAATCAATGGAAAAAAATATTCTATAGTGAGGATTAACAACAACAAAAAAGCACAAGTTGTGAAGTCAAACAAGCCTGGGTTTGAATCCAATTATGTGCCACTGATTAGACATGACTCTAGAACATGCTTATCTATAAAGCAGAATACTAGCTAATAGAATTAACACATTTAATGCTTAGCAGAGTACTCTATAAATGTTACTATTACTATATATTCAATTGCCATTCCATGCATTAGAATATCAAGTGAGGTTTGAAAGAAACAATCAACAGACTCTAAAATAGTAAAATAGGTTTACCAGAATAGGCTCAGGCGAAAGTTTTTCTTCTTTAACAGGCTCAGGCTCGGGCTCGGGCTCCCGCGCTGGTTCCGGCGCAGGCACAGGCACAGATGCAGGCTCCAGTGCCTTTTCCATAGGTTTCGGTAGTTTTTTAGCAGTAACTTTTCCAGCAGCTAATGTTTTTGCCTCCTGTAGCTGAATGGGAGAGAATGAATGTTTTTCTACCCACGGTCACAGCTGGAAAGTGGACTCTTACAGACACGTTGAACCGGGAAGATAGGTACCTTTTTCAGAGGCAGCTTGGCCTGGGGCTGTCCACTGACATTGTTAGCGATGTCTCCAAGGGCTGTTCTCGGCCTCAGCCCGGCCTTGGAGGTTGCAGTAGTGGCCACGGGCACGCGCTTTGCGCCTGCTATAGTGATCTTCGCCTTATTTTCGGCATTAATTTTCGTGTTCTGAAAGAAGCAAGACAATTGGAGAGCTGGCCCAGACAGGTTAGAGTAAGTCAGGGGTTAAGAGGAGCCCAAAGAGAGGCCCTTAGGACGGAAGTCGGCTGAGAGCCAGAGGAAACCCGGGTTGCAGGGTCTGGCTAAGACTGTGACATGCCCGTTTCCTCCCAGGATTGCCGATGAGTCCTGGCTGGCCCTAAGATACTACGGATTTGCATTTGAAAGGAAAGAAAAAAGGTCTCCAATTGCCAGCACCTTCTCTCTCCTGGAAGGGAGTCAACACAGTCGGTGGGAGCCCACACAGGGAGCCTCATCACCTTTTACTTTGTTTTTTTAAATATATTTTTTATTGTTGGTAGTATTTCCCCCCTCCATCACCTTTTATGAAAGGTTTCCCGTCGACCCTCCAACAGCCGCGCCCTCCCCCAGTGTTTATCCAAGGCCCATCCAGATCTTTTGTCACCTTCCTCTCTCCGTCGGTCGGATCTCCAAGCTCCCCCACCAGGGCCCACCGACACCCCTATCCTCCTCCCCAAATCCCTGCGTGGTCCGCTCCCGCCCGGGGGGCTCCGGCAGACGAGACAGGAAAGGAGCACGCAGCGAGAAAGGCCGCGCCCTCCCTCTCGCCGTCCGCAGCAGCTCACTCACCCTGGTGACCCGGAGCGCCATGGCTTCCTCTTCACCAGGCCGCAGCTCAGCGGGAGAAGCAGAAGACGGGAGAGCCCCCAGGAGCGGGGGACCGGGACCCGACACAGACCAACAGCCGTTCCGCCGCAGCACGCCGGCGACGCCGGGCCCAGCCGCGGATTTAAACTCCGCACCGCTCTCTCCTCATTGGCCAGTTCGTGGCACTCGCTCCCTTCCCATTGGCGGCTGCCGGTTCCCGAGAATGCGTCTCCACGGCGATCCCGCGACGGAGTTCGAGACGGGGCGGGGCCAGAGCGAGCGTGCGGCGTCGCTCGGTCGGGCTCTGCGCCTGCGCTCTGCGGCCAGGCGAGGCGAGGCGAAGCTTGTGCGCCGCCAGGTGTCGCGGAGGGGCCGGCCGTGTGGCCTCGGAAAAGTGACAGTGGAGCAGCCGCAGTTTGAGAAGCAAGAGAAACAGTATGTTTCTAATCCTACTTATTGTTAACACACTTTCAATATAATGTATACCGCGTCTCTCTCTCTCTCTCTCTCTCTCTCTCTCTCTCTCTCTCCTCTCTCTCTCTCTCTCTCTCTCTCTCTCTCTCATATATAGTGATGTGCAGCAGTGCAGATGAGATGAAAGAAATTGGAAAGGGTAAAATTACACAAGTCCTGTAAACCGAGATAAGGAATCTGGACTATATGTGAAGTGAAAGCCTTTTTACAGGTGTTTTTTTTTAATTGACATAAATTTGTTTAAATGTTTTTACTGATTTTTTGTTTTTAGAGAAAGAGGAAGGGAGAAGGATAGAGAGGCGGAAAAAATCAACGAGAGAGAAACATCAATGGGCTGCCTCCTACACACTCCCCACTGGGACGAGCCCGCAACCTGGGCATGTGCCCTGACCGGGAATTGAACCATGACCTCCTGGTTCATAGGTCGATGCTCAACCACTGAGCCACCCGTGGCCAGGCTGGAGGGTTTTAAACCAAGGTGTGGCATAGTCTATCTTTCAAAAAGATAACCTTAATCACTGTAAGGTAATGTATGTAAGTGAGAAGGAGGAGGAGAAACAAGAGAAAGTGAAGCAAGGGGAGCCATGAGGAGGCTATTGTAAGAGGCCAAGCAAGAGACGATGGCTTGGATGGTTCTGGTAGGACTAGACAGAAAGGGATGGGTGCTAGAAATAGTTTAGAGATAGACTTGCCGGGGCCTAATGGCTTGCACGGTTAGAGTGAGAGAAAAAGGAATCAAGGATGACTCAAGTTTTGGCCTAAGTAACTGAAACAAAGAAGACTAAAAGATGAGCAGCTTTTAAGGGATAGCAAGTTTGGGGTAGGAGATTAAGATAACAACCAATGAAATTGAAGCAGTAACCAAAACATTAATTAAAAAAGACATCATTCAGCATGATTTACAATAGCCAAACTGCGGAAGCAACCTGTGTCCAGCTTCCACCGATAGACAAATGGATAAAGATGTGGTATATATGTATACAATGGAATATTAGCCATAAAAAAAGAATGAAATCTTGCCACTTGCAAAAGCAAAGATGGACCTAGAGGGTAGTATTATGCTAAGTGAAATAAGTCAGACAGAGAAAGGTAAATACCATATGATTTCACTTATATGTGGAAGCTGAAAAAAAACCAAAATAAATGAACAAAAAAAACAGGGACAAGCTTATAGATTCAGAGACAAAATCAATGGTTGCCAAATGGGAGTTGAGGGGAAGAGGGAAAAGGGAAAAGGGATTAAGATGTACAAATTGCCAGTTATAAAAAAGTCACGGAAATGCAAAATATAGAATAGGGAATATAGCCAAGATTTTAATTACTATGTATGGTGTCAGATGGGTACTAGATTTATGGGGTGATAATTTTGTAAGTTATATAAAGGTGTAGCCACTATATTGTACAACTGAAACAAATATAATATTGTATGCCAACTGTAATTGAAAAATAAAAAAATATTAAAATGAAAATAAGGAGGAAAAAAAAAAGACTGAGAAAATACAGGGAGGAAATTAGAGTAATACAAGAAAACTTCCCAAATCTGGAGGACATGAATTTCATTAATTCATGTCTGAGTGTCGTGTGTAAGTGAACAAAAACTTATTCCATGGCACACTGTGCTGGCATATAATATTAATAATAATAGCCAGGCAGATGTGGGTCAGTGGTTGAGCATTGACCTATAAACCAGGAAGTCACAGTATGATTCCCTGGTCAGGGCATATACCCAGGTTATGGGCTCAGTACCCAGTGTGGGGAAAGCAGGAGATAGCCAATGATTCTCTCATCATTGATGTTTCTCTCCCTTTCCCTTCCTCTCTGAAATCAATTAAAGTATGTTTTTTAAAAATGTTCTTGCCCTAATACCTAGACCTGTGAATATGAAAAGACCAGATTAATTTACCTGACAAAAGAGGCTTGGAAGACCTTGAGATAGGAATTACCCTGATTACCTGGGTGGGTCTACTGCAACCACATGAGGCCTTAAAGGTAGGAGAGGATGGGAGAAGAGGTGGTCAGAGAAAGATGCAACAGGGGAAGAAGAGGCAAGGGAGATCTGAAATGGGAGAAGCATATGTCCAACTGTTGCCGACCTTGAAGATAGATGAAGGAGGTCACAAGCCAAGGAATGTAGGTGGCCGGTAGAAGCTGGAAACACCAGCGAACAGGGACCTCAGTCCTACATCCACAAGGACTGAATTCAATTAGCCTGAATGAACAAGGAAATGGCTTCTCCCCTAGAGCCGCGGTTCTCAACCTGTGGGTCGCAACCCCTTTGGGGGTCAAACGACCCTCTCACAGGGGTCGCCTAAGACCATCGGAAAACACATATATAATACATATTGTTTTGGTGATTAATCACTGTGCCTTAATTATATTCAATTTGTAACAATGCTATTG